CCTGAATTAGTTCAGTGATAACACTTGTTGGAACTAAAGCCCAGGGCCAAAGTGGGCAGTTGCATTTTTTTTGCTCTCCTATCGTTTTTTCTCTCCCAATCCCTAGCCAAATCTGCCTTTCAGTTGCCTGGCAACCGCTCTCCCATGATAGCTGATGTCAGCTCCTTTTCACTTAAGCTTAGCCCGGGAAACTTCTCCAGGAGGACCTTTGAGCTTGTATAGCGCTGGAGGAGGCTCCAGCTGGTATCACCAGGTCACTTGTAAAACTGTAGACTAATGGGCTGAGGTGCGCTAAGTGTAAATGTGGAAGTCACAAGGGATACGTTTTTGGAACAATGTGGCCTTGGGGACTTTGTGTCTAACTTGTAGGAGCCTAGCGAAAGAACCTCTGCAATAGTCTGTCTGCTTCTAAAGTTCTCTTTGCACTTTAAAGGAAAAGAAGTGTCCAGAATTACCCTAACTCTTGAATATTAGAATTTAGCCCAATACTTTAGATGGCCCTTTTGAAAGAAAGGCCAACATTTTAGCTAAGAACATAAACAACAGTTAGGAGGAAAGAGAATATTTTATCATTGGCAAGAATGTTGTAGTGGAAATAGGTTAAAACTTTTTCGTATGTAATCCAGGAGAGGGCAGAAAGGAGTTTTAGTTCATTTCTTGCTGTTCATGATGATCCCTTTGGAAATCCTGGTGGCATAGTGGTTAAGAGCTACAGCTGCTAACCAAAAGGTTGGCAGTTCGAATCCACCAGGCGCTCCTTGGAAACTCTATGGGGGAAGTTCTACTCTGTCCTATAGGGTCGCTATGAGTCAGAATCAACTCGACAACAACGGGTTTTTGATTTATGATGATCCAAGGCAACATTCGCTGGCCTGCTTGTCTGCAGACTATCCCCAACCTGTTAATGTGGCTGTATAGACATGTCGAACTAGTATGTTCAGGTCAGTTTATCTTGTCTAGACCAGAAGGACAGATAGAATTTTGAATTATTTAAGCCTAAAAGGGAACTACGATGTGGTGCTCTAATAATAATTCTACCTCTAATCTAATCTGAAGGAGGCCTGGTGGCAAAATAGTTAAATGCTCGGCTGCTAACCAAAAGGCTGGCAGCTTGAACCCACCCAGCGGCTCCACAGGAAAGACCTGGTGATCTGCTCCGGTAGAGATTACAGTCTAGGAAACCCTACGGAGCAGTTCTGCTCTGTCACACTGGGGTCACTGTGAGTCAGAATCAACTCCATGGCAGCTAACAACAGCAATCTAATCTGATCGATTAATCCTGACACAGCATTTGATGATTTCTCACTTGTATATTTATGGCATTCAACTGCAAGAATGAGAGAATATTTGAAATAATGAAGAGGAAATTATTTTATTATCAAATTTATCTCTTTCAAAGTAACTGCACCATTAGATGAGTCTATAATAAAGATTTTCACAACCTACTCTGGATCTAAGAAGTCTCATCTTATTCTTGCGTGGCTACAGCCCAAACGGGATAGTAGTATTTTTTACATTATTAAGATGAGGTTAATATTGAAACCTTATGACAATTGAGAAGTAGATGCTGGGTTTGGTGTTTAAGATACATTTCAGTTGTGGTTGCTAAGTTCTGCTTTTAAAAAAGCACTAAATTTAAAAAGAAAGAATGAATTTTTTATGCTGAATTTGTAGTGAGGGTTTTTTTGCTTGTGTGGAATGTAGTGTCTTAGGCTGGGTTCCTCAGAAGCACCTCAGAGATGGAGTTAGCATGCAGGATATGTATCAAGGAGCACCTTTGGGATCAACACCTGTGGAAGCAAGGCGAACAGAACAGGACTGGGCAGGAGGAGAAGTCAAGTTTCCCTGCAGACCCAAAGTGAGCTTCAGCTTACCCAGGGAGAGGGAGCTCGGGTTTAGAATGGACCTCCAGGGTATCTTGAGCCAGGATACTCCCCTACTGATCAGCTACTGGATATGCACCAAACCAAACCCGCTGCCATTGAGTCGATTCCAACTCACAGTGACCCTACAGGACATGGTAGAACTGCCCCATAAGGTTTCCAAGGAACAGCTGGTGGATTCAAGCTGCCAACCTTTTAGTTAGCAGCTGTAGCTCTTAGCTACTGCAGCATGAGGGCTCCATTGGATGAGCACACTTCTACCCCCATCTACTCCCCCAAAAAAGACAAGAAGCCCACAGACGCACACAGGCCATGACCTTGGTTGAGATGGCTTTTGCAGCCGAGACAATCTCTGAGGGTTTGGGCCGTCTGCTGACATCACTTTCAGCAGTGGGGACTTGCCATGACTTGACAGGGAACCAGGGTGGTGAATCAACGTGTCCACACGTGTAGGTTGAGAAACAGCCCAAGAGATCAGGTGAACTGGTTTCTCTTTCTGATGAGTTGTTGACCCTATAACCTTAGATGACTTACTGATTGATTTCTGAAAGAGATTGATAACTTCCTACATTCCTATCTGTATGGGATGATATGGTATTTGATAAAGGACTTTCTTATGCTTTGTATGGTTAGGGAAATACGATTATGAAGAATGACAAAGAGCATTTTTTAGAAGTGAATGCTAATCTTGACATATATGATGATAAAAACACATATACATGGTTTAATTAATTATCTGCATTACGACTGCTCTATGAACAGCGAACTATATTGATTAAAAGTAACTGCAGTGACTATGGAATAGTAGTTCACGGTAGTTGGGATCTTTGGCAAAGAGTTGTTAAATAAATCACATGTAGTGATGCTGGTAACTTGTCAGACAGTGAAGCTCAAATAGGCGTATAATAAAAAGACAGGAGGTAGGGAGGGTAAGTTTCTATGTTGTTCTTGGAACAGTCATTTAAGTCCAGCCTTTATTTAAAGCACTTCATATTAAGATAGATAACAGGTAGATAGATAGATAGATACATACATACATAGATAGATAGATATAGATAGATAGAAATAGGTAGAGACAGATAGATGCTAGATAGATAGATAGACAGCTGTCATCGAGTCAACTCCAACTTATGACAGTTTAAGCACAACAGAATGAAATGTTGTCCGGTCCTGTGTCATCCTCATTATCACTGGCACGTTTGAGTCCATCATTGTGTCAGTCCATCTCATGGAGGGTCTCTCTTGCCCTCTTCTTCACCAAACATGATGTCCTCTTCTAGCAATTGATCTCTCTTGATGATGTGTCCAAAGCAAGTGAGTCAGACAGCGTTCTGCTGTGATCCGTAACGTGTTCATTGGCTAATTTTCGGAGGCAGATTGCCAGGTCCGTCTTCCTACTCTGTGTTATTCTGGAAGACTCACTGAAACTTGTCCACTGTGGGTGACCCTGCTGGTATTTGAAATACCAGTGGCATAGCTTCCAGCCTCACAGCAACACGCAGGCCTCTACAGTAAAACAAACTGACAGACAGGTGGTGGACTTCATATTTAAGCCATATTAAATCCATCCATTTGTTCACTTTATAATTCAGGCATAGCTTCAATTATGTGCCTTCTGCGTGCACACCCAATGCCGGCTCAATAGATATTTGAGATATGGTTCTCATCCTCAAAGAGCTTACAATTTCATCAGAAAATCACATCTGTTAAAATTACCACCAATCTCATCAGAAAAGTACAAGATCTGGGAGGATATCAAATGCATGATGCAGGATATGAGTTTTCCATTTTCTAATTTTCTCTTAAAAGCTCCAGGGTCATCATCGGCAATAAATATTGTCAGTTTTCTTAAAGAAAGGCTCATTGTGTTCATTTTTTCAGAAAACGCCTCTCCGATAGCCAAGTCTGAATGATGGTAGTTTATCAGTCATTCTCTAAACTAAAAATGATGATCTGTGAACAAAGCAGCTAGTTCAGCTCACATCTCAAAGAAAGAAAAAGAAAACAATCATACAAGTGCTTTTCCTGAAGACTGCTCCTGTATTTTGTTATGCAGCAGAAGTGCTTTATAGTTAACTGCCTTTTTGTCACACTGAATATTAGAAAGATGTTCATGCAAGGGTTGGAAGTTAGTAAAATGAGCCATGTTTTTTCTGCTTCATCAATGAGTTAATTGAAATTGGCTTTTTTTTTAATGCTAGTGCATGGTGGAGCCCTGGTGGCACAGTGGTTAAGAGCTACAGCTGCTAACCAAAAGGATGGCAGTTCGAATCCACTAGCCCCTCCTTGCAAACCCTATAGGGCAATTCTACTCTGTCCTATAGAGTCGCTATGAGTTGCAATAGACTTGATGGCAATGGGGTTTTTTTTTTGGTTGAGTTCATGGTGGTGAAGAACCCAGTGCTCTCTAGAACAGTTTAACTCGTGCTAAAGGACCAGCAGTTTTACCATCCATTGCTTTTGTATCATCAGTGCAGATGTCAACACAGTGAACATGTCAGAGCCTTGGTATTATTATGAAAAGAGTTGTGACCTCACGGCCCCCTCCCTGTAAGTGTCCCGGAGACCCTCAGCGGTTTGCAGCCCAGACTTTGAGAACTGCTGATGAAGAGGAAGGTTTAAGCAGGGAGAGCCAGGAGGGAGGAAGACTGCTTGGGCAAGAGACCAAAAGAACCTGGCCACATGTGTTGACACCAGAGATGGAGAACGGGGAAGGAAGTGAGAGAAGTTGCAGAGGTTATAATGATGAGATTCGGCAGTAGAAGGGCAAGGAAGAGTTGAAACTCAGTGAGGTGTTCAGCCAGGTGACGGAGTGGATGGCAGTGTCATCACTCAGGTGATGACTATGGAAGGAGGAGGCCAGGTTTATGATTGAAAGTGATACTGTTTTTCACTGTGTGAGAAACATCTATCATAGTCCTCCACTTCTGGAGTCTAGCATGGAGGAGGAACATCCAAGTCTGTAGCCAGGTCTCTGCAGCAGCCTGAGAGCTGGTGTTGTATTGACAACCAGGATGAATGAATAGTGGTTCTCGAATGCTCAGAACGTTCTATGTTGATGCATAAGGCTTTTGTGTGCATGCTTCCTATAATAGTGTTTTCTCTTTCTCTTTCCAGGGATGGTACAAAAACTGGACCAAAAACTTCCAGTGGCCAATGAGTACCTGTTGCTTTCTGGAGGTGTCCGGGAAGGCGTGGTGGACCTGGACTTGGATGAGCTGAATGTCTATGCTCGGGGGACCGATTATGATATGGACTTTACTCTTCTGGTGCCAGCCCTTAAGCTGCATGACCGGAATCAGCCTGTGACACTCGATATGCGCCACTCAGCCTTGTGCCACTCTTGGCTGAGCCTCCGGCTCTTTGATGAAGGGACGATCAGTAAGTGGAAAGACTGCTGCACCGTCGTCGACCACATCAATGGTGCTACCAACTACTTCTTCTCCCCGACCAAAGTGGCCGACTGGTTCTATGAGTCCATCAGCATCGTCCTGTCAGAGATACAGAAGAAGCCCCAGCGAGGGATGCCAAAGGTGGAAAAGGTAGAAAAAAACGGGACAATCATCTCCATTATTCTGGGTGTAGGCAGCAGTCGTATGCTGTACGACATTGTCCCTGTGGTCTCCTTCAAAGGTTGGCCTGCAGTCGCCCAGAGCTGGCTCATGGAAAATCACTTTTGGGATGGGAAGATCACCGAGGAAGAAGTCATCAGTGGGTTTTACTTGGTACCTGCTTGCTCCTACAAGGGTACGAAGGACAATGAGTGGCGGCTGTCCTTTGCCAGGAGCGAGGTGCAGTTGAAGAAGTGTATCTCTAGCAGCCTCATGCAGGCCTACCAGGCCTGCAAAGCCATCATCATAAAACTCCTGTCCCGGCCCAAGGCTATTAGTCCGTATCACCTGCGGAGCATGATGCTCTGGGCCTGCGACAGACTTCCTGCCAACTACCTGGCTCAAGAAGACTATGCAGCCCACTTTTTGCTGGGCCTCATCGATGACCTGCAACACTGTCTCGTCAACAAGATGTGCCCCAATTATTTCATCCCTCAGTGCAACATGCTGGAGCACCTGTCAGAGGAGACGGTCATGCTCCACGCCCGGAAGCTTTCCTCCGTCCGCTCAGACCCGGCAGAGCACTTGCGTACCGCCATCGAGCATGTCAAGGCAGCCAACCGGCTGACGTTGGAGCTACAGCGCAGAGGCAGCACCACCAGCATCCCCTCCCCGCAGTCGGACGGAGGCGACCCCAACCAGCCGGACGACCGCTTGGCCAAAAAACTGCAGCAGCTAGTGACTGAGAACCCTGGGAAGTCCATCTCTGTCTTTATTAACCCTGATGATGTCACAAGGCCCCATTTTAGAATTGATGATAAATTTTTCTGAGCATTTTGCGGACTCTTTTTTTTCTCCCCCTCCCCTTTCCTGGTTCTAAAACTCTCCTAACGTGTAGCGTGTTTTGTGATGCTGTCTTTCCGTTTTTTACATATCCAACCTAGATTGGATCTGTTAAGAACACCTCTTACGTTTCCTGATGGTGCAGGCTCTGAAACAGTATATTACTATTTCATATTCGGCCGCTTATTTTTGTTGTTGTTGTTACTGTTTACTTTTTGTAGTCATTTTCGTCTAGTTTTTTTTTTTTTTTTTTAAGGAGAACTTGAGCCATAGAAGAAAATGCCCATGAATCCTTGCGTATTTTTCTGTTTTATACTTTGTGCAAATTTGCTAACGGGGTGAGGGAAACAAATCTCTTTGTGACATTTAAATATTTTATTCTTTGTTTTGTTTTCATTTCGTTTTCCCTTTCTTCTTCTTCTTTTTTTTTTTTTAATGAGCTTTCATCAGTATAGGTATTTGAGAGAATTGTCTGAACCTGGGAATTACCTGGCAGGCTAGCTGGATTTCTGTCTTTTGACCAGTGGCCAGGCTTGCTTCCCCTTTTTTCACCAAACGTTGTAGAGTTTGAGTGTGATAATGCTACAAATTGTGTTTTGGAGCAACTTCACAGAATGTAATTGTCCTCGCATCAGAACCTTGGATGGTTTTGGAGGGTGTGTTTGACAGCTTTCCAACCAGAATTAAGGTTTTCCAAATGTTAGTTTTTAGCGTGTGTAATTATTTGAAGCCTTATTTAAATCCTATTGAAGAACGTACCATTATAATTGTTATTTGCACTAATGAAATCTTTGCCATTGTCAGAGTTCCGCTGTGTATGTTTCAGTATGAATTAAAATCCACTGTTGAAATGCTATCATTTTTTTTTTCCATTTTACCAATTTTACTCAATCAAAAGAATGATTTTCTGCATTGGTTTTAGTTCTCCTTCAATTGTGGGGTCCCATGTTGCCCTCTGATTTTCCGTTTCTTTGTCTTACTGAGAGAAGTTTTTAAAGCTTTATACCTGCTGATTGACTTTACCGAAAGCTGGGGAAAATACCTACGTGATAAAATGGGTGTCTTTGTATTTATTTCTCTCTTACCTTTACAGAGGTAAGCTTTTTTGTAAAGTCTCCTTCTCTTTACTGAGGAGTTCAAGGACAACTGGCAGGAAGAATTATAATCCCCAAACTGAAGATGCCACACTTGTTAGAAAGCAGGCTTTGCCATAGCGTGGGAACCAGGAAGTCGCTGGGTGGCAGCCTTGGTGGAGAGGTGTCCTGTCTTCATGAATGAAATTGCTTGCCAGGTTTAGGTGCCACAAGGCATGGGCTTCCTGTTTTGATGTGGACTCATGGCAAACTGGTATTCGAGAGGTCAGGGGACCTACCAGTCTCTCAGTGAATGCCCGTGGTGTCTATGGTTGGAAAGGCCAAGCAACATTTTGGTTTTGATCTTGAATCTCAAGACTTATAAATTGGATTTTGGCTGATTGAAATCAGGCATATGCTGTCTTGGGTTTTTGCATGGGAATTAATGTAATGCTTATAAATGAAAATGAATTCATTCAACCATCTTAAGTCAAACACAAAAATAATAATAATAAAAAAAGAAACATACCAGTCTTGGAATTTTGTTATTGTTGTTGCTAGTTTGTAATCTGGAAATTGTCTTCTTATGAGCAATGCTAACGATCATTTTCAGTAAGTACAGCCTAAACCAAACCAAACCAAACCAAACCTGTTGCCGTCGAGTCGATTCTGACTCCTAACGACCCTGTAGGACAGAGGAGAACTGCCCCATAGGGTTTCCAAAGATCATCTAGTGGATTCGATCTGCCGGCCTTTTCATTAGCAGCCAAGCTCTTAACCTCTGTGCCACCAGGGCTCCAAATACAGCTATTGTCTTGCAGGCTAGATGGCCATGTATAGTGAACTTCCAACATTCATTCTTTCCTTTCCCCATATTTTCCTACTAGTGTGTATCTATCCTCCAAATAGCCCATGTCCTTCTCTGGAAATGATTCATCCCCAGCTTGACTGCATTCTGATTGGTGTAAGCCAGTCACCATAAACCATTTCCCTGGCCACAGTCGTTACTTAGGGATTGGGCATGTGATGTAAGCTGTTCCAATCAGGGAGATGCCCAGCATTTCAGCTTGGAATGCTGGGACAGAAGCATGTACTCTCCCTGGATACGAAAGAGAAAGCCCTTGGCGTCTATCACTACTGACAGCTATCACACAACCATGACTCGAGCCAGCCTTAGTATAAAGTTGACATTGGATAAAAACATAAGCACCAAACCACACCTCCCCTCCCCCTCCCAAGTCAAGTGTCTTTCCTCTCACCAGACTAGTTAAGTGAGTCAACAAATGCCCTCTGTTATTTTAGCCAGTTTGCATTTGATTCAATTTATCAAAATATTTAAGCTGGTATACCAGGCTACTTCAGTATGTTTACACTCATGTAGTTGATGTATATCTCCTTTCTTTGTGGGGATAGGTATCAGAGGTACCCATACATTTTATCCAAGAACTGGTTTATGCTGTCTGATTTGATTAATCCAAACAATATCATAGCCTCTAGCACTAATAGTCCCTTAACCTTTATTATACTTGGGCCGTTTTTAAAATTTGCAGGTTAAAAGAAATCATTATAAACTGTTGCAGTAGTAAGCATATCCACATAGCTGTTTTCAACTATAAACTGCCTCAACCGTGCTTTGAAATGACATCTCAAATACACTTAGCAACATTTGCAATCTTTGAAATGCTGTGTTTTCAGACAAAATTTCATTGCAAAAGTGATACAAACCTAGCTTCAAAGATCCTCTTAGTACATTTTCCCCTTGGTTCCATGCTGCTTCTAGTCCTAGTGGAGAACCCTTTACAAATTCTTGGTTAAACTTAAGAAAAAAGCCCCAAGGACCCTGAGCTCTAGAAATTTTAAAACCTTTTTTACTATGAGTACCTTAACTTGAGGGCTCCTAAGTCAGACATTGTTGGGGGTGAGTAGAGATGGGGTGCAGTCGGATACATTTCCTTATCTAAGACTTAAATCATTGAATTACTAACTAGTCCTTCCTTCTGATTTCAGAAAATTAGTTAAAAACACTTCTGCTTCAAGTACAATAAAAAATGCCTTATGACTGGAGTGACGATAATGTCAACATTACTGATGGCTGAATTTTTGGGTGTGGGAATTGACAAGCTGTAGCTCTAACAGGGTTTCACATATTTCAAGAGTAGATTATTCTCTGTCTTCTGCCTTCTGCCTTTCCCTCCTTATGAAACGAAAACCCAAAGCTCCAAGTAGAGGTTGGTTTCAGAGTGGGTGGAGCCGATCAGGACCAGCTGTTTTAAGAATAAGAATACCCTGGAAATTACTGAACAGAATTCTTTCAGAGAAAATGAAAGGCAGCCGTGTATGGCTAATTTTACTGAATTTCAGGGGGAGATGTGGAGAAGCAGGGAGCAGCCTTCTGGGGCTACGTTTCAATATCCCCCTAGTCACTTCTACACTGTCCCTGGGTGGTATGCTTGGCTGCTCTCCAAATGGCTGGTGGTTCAAGTCCACCCAGAGATGCCTCGGAAGAAAGGTCTGACAATCCACTTCTGAAAAATCAGCCATTAAAAACCCTATGGAGCACAGTTCTACTCTGACACACATGGGGTCACCATGAGCTGGCATTGACTAGAAAGCAACTGTTTGGGTTTTTTTGTTACTGACATCCCTTTCGCATAATGATATCCCTTCCGCACCATGCCCTACACACACACACACACAAACACACACACTTGCTTTTACTTTGCCAACTGGAGAGGCATCTTGAGGGTGACTGTCTTGTAACATTTCCTGGGAGGAATAAGCCCATTGACTTGTCACAACGAAGTATTGATTGTTTGGGGACATATCATTACCTTGCTAAGACAAATGTTCTAACTTAGAGTTCAGCTTTGGATAGGATTGCTAGAAAAGAAAAGGAGATATGTGCTTATCAGCAGCTGTTGGATGCTTAGGGTCAGGTGGCTTCCTGCTGTCCCAAAGCTCCTCCGTAGTCTTTGGGGGAGGTATCTAAACTTCCACCCAGGTAAGCTCTTCCCAGAACCTTCTCATGTGAGTTGCCCAAGGGTATGGCTATTTCACTTCCTATGGATCATTATTAGGAAAGACTTTTATTTCACATTTCCCATGTTCTAACCTAAGGGCAAGCTTTTTTTGCCATTAAATGCTACATATACTAAAACAAGAATGGGTGTCATTTCCTTTTACCTTTGCTTGATTAATATCAGGTAAATACAGATGTGTTTTTTAACTGATGTAATTAATGATCCTCTCTGAGGAAAATAGTTGTTTTTAAGAATGTACCTCTTACGCTGTCATTTTCTCGATAGGTAAACAATGAATGCATGATCTAAATACCCACTTGCCAATGGAGAATTATTTACAACATGTCAGAAATTCTATTTTCTGTTCATTAGCTGGGAAAATGTCTTTTCTTTTTTAGATAAACATAGATTTTTTTCATGGTGGAAATCAAACTATAGTAAGTTAACTAAACATAATTATGTTTCTTTTTCTCTGCCCCATATATAGCAATGCCTTATATATCAACTTATTATCAATATTTACCCCGTTGAGTAAACTCATAAGCAGCATATTTCATAAACTGCACTATTTGCCGTATTGCACTGAACTATTCTACTGATGTAGGGTGACCCTGCTGTTCTAAGTCTGGGTCGACAGTTCTCCGTCCACACTTGGGCCCCCACATGCAGCAAGCATCAGGGAGACCATAGGCCTGGGCCTGTGTGGTTAATAATCAGCAAGAAATTTCTGAAAAGTCAAATATCATTAATCCTCCATGTAGAAACACTGTTGTTCAAAGATCATCAAAGACATATTCAGCTTTAATTTGGTATGACAGCTGAGATAAGACTGTTTTCATTTCGGACCTCTTTATATGTCTTTTTAGGATGAATGGACTCAATGTGACCTTGGTAAGGGTGCATTGATAAATTTTTCACCTACTGTCTTCTACTCCACCAGTTAATCACAGACACTTAAGGGCTAAATGTGGGCAGAGGCAGAGACTTGTTTCTTTGACTTCACATCCTTATCTATAAAATGAGGGACTGGGGTAGCTGCTCTCTTTTTTTTTTCAGGCTTTGACAATCTACGATTGCCTCAGTTTCCAAAATAATCTCAATTTTAGATCTATAAATTCATCTATTTAAGCATCTGGGGTATTTGCTCATTTGGGCAGATTATTATTTTTAAAACCTCTTATTAAATTGTACCAGCATGTACAGTGGGGCACAATAAATGTTATTGAACACTTACAGATACACTTGCTAGGTGCTTTATACTTGTGAATCAATTTCAGTCTTACAATAACTCTAAACATTTAAGGAAACCAAGACCCAGAAATCGGGTAACTTGTCCAAAGT